GTATTGCCTCTGGACATCTCTGGAAGAAGCAGTGTAAACAAGGGGGTAGTTGAGGACAGTGTATGGGTGATATGCATCCAGTGTATGCTTCCTGAGCTCCCTGACCTTCAAGTACCCTGCAAACACGGCAGCCTTGCATAAAAGCATCTTTACAACCCCCCCACATAACCCTCCACCATGCAAGCGAACAAGTAACCCAGGATTGGATGGCTCCACAATCTTCTATCTGACCGGCCCCCTTCGCTCCCTTCCCGTGGCCTAGAGGACAGCTCATTGGGGTTTGGAGAGGCGGTCTAAAAAGGAACAATGCGTGGATTGCGCCGGGACGACTAGCATTTTGTCCTGTCGGGTGGTTATAGTAGTAGTGCAGCCTTGGCGTCGAGTCTGGTTGCAATGCATGTTGCGAAGGGTTGTTGCACTTGATGGACAGGGTAGGATTGAAAGTTGAGAGCAAGTTCAAGGCTTGGTGTAAGTCCAAAGTAGTCGCCTCTAGCCTCCTTGACACTGAGCGTGGTATGAATAGACGAGTCCAACGTCTCGTGCAGTCCTAATTGAAATCCCGATGCCTGGCGGAGCCCACTTCTCATCTTGACGTATGGACACAGAGGCTGTCGGGTCATGTCCTTGTGCCCCAGCCGCGTCGAAGGATGATCCACATATCTCTGGTTTCCCAATTTTCCGGAACTCATGTGTAACCTTTTGCCATGTCGCTTAGCGTCCGCCTCAGTGAGGACCTTAGCTAGAAGAAGAGGAATGGACAATGTAAAGGCGTGTGGGGTGTCCCGAGGCTCTCAAAGGTCCGGCTTCCTCAAACCTGGCTTTTGTCCTGGCAAGCCTTGGAGAACTGGTTTCGTTCTTGGGAATAGAATCCGGTTTACATGACTGTGCCCTAACTCCAAAGGATGACGATGAAAGCAGAATGACTCCCCTGGACTTCGTGCGTGCTCTGAACGTCGCACCGCAGGACTTGGATAGAGGTGAGGAAGTTTTCAACATAGGGCTGAACAGACAGAGGGTCAATCTGTCCAGGGTTTTTTGAGTTACGTAAATATCAGACGGACTTTTTTGAAATTGATGGGGTCAAGGGGTGTCACACTTTGGTGGTTCCTATTTTTTGCAGACCTGCGCAGGCATGTCCGAGGTTTTCTCGCTCGCTCCTGTGGCAAGTTTCAGAGGTTTTAGACTTGAAGTGTGGGTCTTTACACAAACATGGGTATCTTGCTGGCAGATTGCTTGTAGCCTCTCTTTAGCTGGCCCTGTTTGTGTTTCAGGCTTTCTCAAAGGACGAGTTGAAGCTTAGGGTTGAGGGCTTGAGGCTGTGGGGAATAGAGCAAGGGCATCAAGCAGTGAAGCAAATCGAATTGTGCGCAGTTGTGGATACCCACATCCAGGTTACACGGCCGTCAGATTTGGGGTGCCGTCATCAAAGAATCCACGCAATGGGTGACAACCCCCGCATGGCATGCAGGATGCTAGATTATAAGAACTTTGAAGGCAGAATGAGGAGAGGACTCCAACTCAAAAAATTGCGTAGGTGACCTTGCATGGGCAAAAAGCAGAACGCTCCGACAAGATGTCCTCTTGCCAGAGCCAACTTTGCCCTCGGCAGAAAACTTGAAGAGCTGATCTTGCTCCCCGAAGAAATTCCTTCATTTCTTCCTAAGCATAGGGGAGCAAGTAAGGATTCTGATGAATTCGCCTGGCGCTTGAAGATGTTCGAGGAAGGTTGGGAGTTGGATGAGAGCGATTTGGTCCCTGCCCAGTGAGGACCTGTGGCACAGGTAGTGGCCTCCAAAACTACAAGATCCTTTTCGGGGAGACCATACATTGAACAAAAAGAAGATTCCCACATTCGGGGCCTCATTTTTGCTCTTGTGGTTTTTGCCGAGGCTGCCCAGTGTACAGTGTACAGGCTTTTGGGTTGGTTGGTTGCTGCTTGTTGTGGGGTTCCTTTCCTGGTTCTTATAGCCAGCAGGGGAGAGGATGCAGGGCTTGTAAGATCGCTTTTCCTCGATTCTCACCCGACTGCGGCCGGGTTTGTCCACCAGGCTCTTCCCCGGCCTGTACAGTGCAAAGGCAGCCTTCGGCTCGAAAAAGTCACAAGCGCTTAGGGTGCCCAAAGGGTTCCCGGATCCCTAAGATGCATTCCCCATTTGTTTTTTTTTGTTGTTCTCCACCCCGACTGCCAGGGAGAAATTCTCAGGGGAGCCCTCTTTGTCTTACATCACGGATTGTTGTGTTTCGGGTGTATAAGGTTGAATGCAATTTCAGGAAAGACCCAGATGATGCAGCTTGACATTTGAAAGGCTCATGTACTCGTGAGGGCTCATGTACTCGAGAGGGTTGCCGGCTTCCCGAGCAAATTGTGATTCAGCTTGCCTGGCCCCTGATAGCTTTTGGGCTCAAATGGAGGCCCTGGATGTTAAGACACACGTCTCTCCAAGCCTGGCCCCTTTTATGCGGGCGAATCGGGCGAGGACTCGAAGATACCCAGGCCCTGTAGAGTTCCAAACTGAGTCGCAGGCGAATGAACCAGCAATGGATGCAAATTGCTGATCCCTTTCCACTAGCCTGACGTATGCTAGTTTGAGGTCTAGTATTCGCATCTGCGTCGCATGCTTCGCTTACTTCGCTCCTCCTGGGCGCGATGCGGGCCATCCAAGAGTCGGTGCACAGGTCCCGGCAGGCACCACACGGCTTGGGATCCTTAAACTGCCAGTGGAAGATCAAACATCTGCCAGGATTCCATAGGGACATCATTGCTGACAATCTTTCTTGTTGGGATATGGAGTGATGCAAGAGAATAACAAAGGAATCTAGTCTATTGTAGCAGTATTGAAGCCTTGTCATCTTAAATCCTGCAGAGGGATGTGCGCATGCAGCAAGCGTGGTTGCTGTACAAGAAGAGTGGACTCTGTTTGCTTTGACGGAGGAAGCCTCTAGCCATGGTATTCCTCGTGTAATGGCAGTTGCCTTGAATTTTCCGCGTTTGATGCGAGAGCCTCTCTACCTTGTCATCCGAGCTTAAGACATCGAGGGCCTGACAACGATTCGCCGCAATACAACTTCTGAACAAATGGTGCTGAGGTTGCACCGAGGCATCAAGCCGGCGCTGGCGAAAATTTCGGGCCCATGAAAAAATCATCAAATATGTCGTCCTTGCACACCCTACACACCTACTCGATGTGTTTTTATCGAAACGTCATCTTAGAGGCTACCCGCGACATTCTCGTCTGGATCGAACGTTATCCAGCGCATCCCCAATCACCCCGTGTTCTGAACAGACCCTAAGTTCCCAACCCCATGTCCTGAACCCAGGCCCTGAACCCCATACACCCAAGACCCCATTGTAGAGTTGATGTCGCAGGCGGCCTTGGAGAAGAAGAATGCCCGCCTGGAGCAGGAAGCCCTAAAGCGGCAGGCTGCCTGCTCCAACCCTTGGACTAAGAGGAAGGTATGGTTCAGCATGATCCTGGTCAGCGTTTCAGTTTCTATGCATGTGGCGCACGGAAAGAAACTCTTAGAAGTAGGGCTTTTGCAGGGAGTATCCGGGAAGTTATGATGAAACAGGGATCATAAAGGATTTGAGAGAGGTTTCTTAAACTGAAGGGTCCCAAATCTAAGGCTGTATGTTTGCAGGCGAGTCCAGGACTTGACGGGTTTGGAGTTTGGGCCTGAGGTTTAGGGTTCCCTTGCTCAAGCTTCAGGGCTTGAAGTTGAGGCGGGGTGTAGGAGTCGTAACGCAGAAAGAGGCGACACAGAGGGTGAATTCAATTGTCAGGTTCAAGATCCACCAAACAAGATTCCCCAATTTCAGAAATCCCCTACTTGGTTTTTGATTTTTGGGTTCGGAGTAGGGCAAACAAGGTTACCCAACAGAGTATGGCGACCGCTTCTCAGGGAGCCACACTCCTTGTAGATTTCTCCAGGTTGCTTATTGCCTAGCCTCTACTGACAGAGACCAGATTCCAGTTGATTGCATGGCAGGTTGGGGTGCTTGTCTTTGTATTTGTTGAGGCCATTTCAGGTCCGCTGACGGATGTCAATGTTCGTGAATGCCAGGCAGATCCTTACAGCGCATACTTACGTGTGATTGGTGAAGGTATTGGGTTTGGTAATCTAGTCTAAAGATTCGGGCTGCGCTCTTGGATTGTCATTTGAGCCCGCAGCCGAGCCCTAGACCTAGACTCTACTTAGACAAGTAATTAGCCTCCGATTCCCATGTCGTGTATTCCTACGAGATTTGTTCCTGGATAGTATTTGTATTTGTATTCTGAGTCGAAGTGACTGTAGGGACGCTGTAGCACAGGAGCCTGGCTATTATACCAATATAACTCCAATATACTATAATATAGTAGTTTCCAGGTTATTCTCCAGTATCCCAGTATCCCTATATATGCTTAATATACTCTAAATAGGATTCGCTCGGGCTGTCGCCGCAGAGAATTGCACCAGGCTGAAGAAGAGGTCTACGCTCTCCAGCTCCAGAAGGACGACCTGGGGCTTTGGGTTTGGTTATGTATGGATATATGGGAATAATGGAAAAGAAAATGGAAACTACAGGGATTATAATAGGATAGATAATATAGGCTATATAGGGATAATGGAAAAGAACATGGAAACTGCTGTAATATAGTAGCGTAGACATCGGGGTTTTACTGGGCATGCATAGGGATAATGGAAAAGAAGAACATGGAAACACCCATAATATATTGGGGTTATATGGAGACTTGAATCTGGAGTTGGTTGCGAGAGCCATCATGCATTTCCTTGTCAATGGGCCCAGACTCTAAACAAAACCCCAAACACGAACCTATATAACCCTAATATAACGCCGATACATACTCCAATATACTGTAGTTGTTTCCAATTTGTTTTCCATTATCCCTATATTATATCAATATATAAGCGGCTTAAACCGCGAACCGTACCTCCCTGAGCTCTCACAAAGCTTGTTCAGGAGCGCTGTTTCAAAGCCAGAGGGGACTTGATGAAGGCGCTTCCTGAGCTACTCTTCGACTTAGGGCTCAGGGGCTTTGGGGTTCAGGTGCTTAGCGGTTCACTGGTTCGCAGGTTCAAGTTTGCGGGCTTGGAGGGTTGGAGTTTAAGGCTCCGGCTCGTTCAAACTTGGGTCTGTTTCTGTCACGCTTTCTCAAAAGAAGCCTGTTATTTACAGAGGTAATAGGCGAGGCTGTCCTTCTGAGACTCGCTTCAACCTGATGTTTAGTCCTGACAGCTTGAAAGCAATGGGTGGGAGAGGGAGCCGGACTGAGAAAGAGAGCGAGAGAAACAGAGGTCCATTCCGCCGCAATACAGCCGGACTGGGGAGACCCTCCTTGACAAACTATTCAGGAGATGCCAGATTCGAAGCGATTTGAAGCTCATGCTTAAGATCGCGCCCCGTTGAACGATTAACGCTGAGAACCAAACGGTTCTCCAAGAGTATGTTCCCAAGAATTTTGCAATAGGGAGATTCCAAGGAATGCAAACGACCCTTCGCTGTTTACCTCTCTATGTTAACGTGTTTAGCTTGTCAGGCATCTTTGTATACCATATGCAGCCTTCTAAATTTGAATCCCGGTATTAAGTCTTGAAACCTTGAAGCCCCCATGAACGAAACAAGTGACATTAACCCCCCTTCCTTCCGGGCAGGAAATAGATTTGGCTCACGAGCAAGAGGCCCTAGTCTACTTGCAGGAGGCACCTGGACACGAGGGTTTGGGCTTTGTGCTAAGGCTTCAGGATGATGCTCAGGATCATATTGGTGGTGATCTGACATTGTGGTAGCACTAGTTGTCAACATTGGCGCAAATGCTAAGAACATTTGAGCTCAACTAGTGATGAATCGCTGGCTAGCTCTGGTTAGGCTGTTGGGTCCATACTCCAAGCTGTTGGTTGGGGGACAAGGCTTCGGGTCTGGCGTTGTCCGTGACTTCGGGATGCTTTTCATCAGGATGTTGGTGCGTTTGTGCTTTACCGGCGGCCAAGGAACCTGTGTTCATAGGGCCATCTTGCTCGGGAGATAGGGCCGGCTTGCTAGGTTGCTGCTTTAGCGGCAATTTGCATTGCAACCCTGCGTGCTGTGAAAAGGAAGATGGTTTGTCAAAAGTACGACGGTCACCGGAGTACAGTGTGCTGGAGGCTTGAAACACTTTTTTGCTCCTGGGTGATGTCTGGAATAGCGTGATTGCCTTTTCTAAGGAAACATATTCTCCACATGTCACGTCATGGCTCTACACCTCCCTAAAATGACCTGGAACCCCATATGCCCCCGTTTCAGAAGGGCAAGGGCAGTAGTCTGCTCAGAGCCTTTAGCTGGTCATCCTTAGTCCGAGCACACACCTCGAGAATCTCAGCAGCGGCCTAACATCTTCGGGCTGCCCCGGGTACTGTTTCAGCCTCAATTACTAGAACCACTATTCGCTCGAAATCCTTCTGGAAACCAAAACGCAATTCTTTCTACATTCTTGTTCTAGTTATGTAGGCCTTGACACTGCATGGAATGGGCCAGATACGAGCAGATCCAGACATGCTGGTCTTTCGCGACCGCTACGGCTCCACCCTGCTACATGAGGCTCCATGCAGCTGCAGGTGTTTCGCTGCGAACACAGTTCTTTTTGGCGGTTTGTTACTTCTTGTGGCAAGTGTGTTTGTGGTTATTGTTTGTGAGATGTTTCTGATCATCTTTCTAGTCTACAGCTTTCCATTGCATGTCTGCAGCCGGTCAAAAAGCGAGCTCTAGTTGAGAGTTTTGAGAGGTGCTTAAGCCGCTGAATTGCCCATTTGATATCAAGACGCCTTGACAACAGCTCTCTGGTTGCTTTCCACTCTTAATATAGAAGCTCTAAACCCCAAACTCCACGAATGTTGGGCTTTAAAGGCCTGCTCGCGGGGCATGAAGCAGCTGGCGCTTGCCGTGCTCCATGCGGCAGAGGAGGCCGAGATGGAGGGCCTTCTCCAAGTGGGTGCTTTGGTTTGTTGTTGCGGTGAGTGTATGTTATGTTGCCTCAAAATGTATGTGAGGATATATAATCCAGTTGTTACATTTCGAGGAACCGCAGCGGTAACTACAACACTATCTGTTAGTTCTATCGCAATCAAATGGTAGGAAGCAGGATTTGTCAAGATCATGGGCCCCGTTTGGGATGTGTACACTGAAGTAAGCTGTCCCAAGAGCAGGTCTGAGTATCTACGGTCTTTGTGTTCTTTAGCGTGAGGTCTTGCGGGTTTCCATGTAAGATTTTCTAGGTGCTTGTGTGGAACATCCATCCATTCCTTGTAAGCCCTTATATCCTCTTCATGGTTGCTTGGATCTCTATGTGCTTAGTTGGATGATTGTTCATGGACATTCTACATCCCCATTGTCCATTGAGCCCCATTCAGAATGCTACTGCTGATGGTCTTGAACAAGCATTCCAGACATGATCTAAGCCAGAGAGGGTTGAATGTTAGTGCCATGGTCTTATTGTAATCTTGTTTTCAAGGACTCTAGTTTTCCAATGGAGCTCTGGAGGGCTTTGTTCATCGTCACTCATTCTTGGAATTGATCAGCTACAGCCATTTTGCTATTTGCAACGTGAGAAGGTTTCCACAAATTGGAATGAAGTATATCAGACCCTATGCGCGTTCCATCTGAATGAAGTATGTCCAGACTTCCTGAGATTCTGAGCCTGTCCCCTGTCCATTGCAGCAGCGGCCTCATACTTATCCCACTAACCTTCTCCATGCCTTGCAGACAGCCTACACACTTCGAAGGTGGGTGATCAGACGCAGGAGAATCTGATCAAGCAGCTCTTTCAGAGGGACTATCGGGGCCAGACGTCTTGGGCCCAGTCCCTTGCCCTGTCCTAGGTCCTAAGGTGCTGTGGGTTATTTAATTTTCATGCATCGTCTGATTTGTGAAGCAGGGTCCTCTTCGATGGTGGATGGTGGACGTATCGAACTAGCCCAGAATATTGGATTTAAAAAAACCTTAGAAACCCAAACATTCAATGTTCGCGTGAGCCGGCCTGGCAGCCAACGCACTAGCAGTTTCAGTCGCAGAGTCTCTACTGCTCCAGCTGTTATTAGGCGGGTCTGCCAGAACCATGGAATTTGTGTTTGGGGGTCTTTGCCGCAAGTGCGCTCATGTTTTGGACGTGTGAAGGAAGGACATGGTCCTTCCATATTCGCACTGCGGATATCGTTACCAGAAGCTGAAATACACTTCATTCCGTGTCTTATTCATGATCTTGCTAGTTATACATGGACTCGAATTAGCTTGTTTATCACTTCCTTTCTTGTTTCTCAATTTCTGTGTCTTATCTTGAGCCAGGAGTCCGCTTGTTCAGAATCTCAAGTGCGATCCAAGATGCCAGGTTGAACTAGACAAAGGCAACTGGCTATTATCAGAACAAATGCCGCTTCCGCTTGATGTGGAATCCACCCAAAGGGAACTTCAAGCCTCGAGGAGACCCCCTATATCCATGTTTTCTGACACCCAATTTATGTTTAGCTCCGTCCCCGAAGCGTCTTGGCTCAAGTGGATCGTCTCCAGCCATGGCTGAGGCGCATCTTGGCTCATATGTTGGGAAGTGAAGCACCCAGGCTTGTTATGCACATATTGGGATAAGTAGGAAAGGGCTGAAGCACAATAACCAGCTCATAATTTGTGGTCCCTTCTAGTCACAATTTTTGGTTGGATCGCGTTGCATTCCAAGTCGGTAGAAGGCTGCTGAATGCTCACAACAGCCCAGCGAAAAGCATGTTGAGTCCACCTTTTCAGAAGCTCCGCACAGTCCCAGTGGTTTCTTGTTTCCAGAGACTCTAACCTGAACATGCGCAAGGAAGTTTCTTTGCAGCCTAGGTCCGCAGTGAAAGACAGACTTGCCTTAGAGGTTAGTGTGCGGAAGCTTCAGCAGTTGGAATACGACTTTCAGTAGAAATTCATGATGACAGGCTCCATAGGTTTGTATGTCAGACTGACCGTCCCGCGAACGAGTCCTGTCCTATGATTACTGTTGCTGGTCATCGTCTTCTTCTTCTTGTTCTTGGTGTTGTTGTTGTTGTTGCAGTGGTGGTGGTGGTGGTGGTGGTGCTGGTGGTGATGATGGTGATGATGGTTGCGGTTCACAACTCCTCTTTCCACTCCTTTTTATTCCATTGCTCCAACTACCACGACGACCGCCACCAAACGCAACATCATTCCTATTGCTATGACTGTGTGCTGATATTTTGTATCCAGGCTTTGCAAGGACAGCGAGTCCGATGAGGATTATGAAGACGGTGACTTCACAGCACGTGTTGAGGAGCATGGGATGGATGGGTGGAGTTGCAATTCATTTGGTGTTGTTGGAAGGTTCACTCAGAAGTTCCTTTGAGCCTTGCCCTGCCCGCCCAGCCGTACTCTCGACAATGTCCCCTACAGTCACTAGAGTCCTCGAGCCTAGAAGCAGTGTTTAAGCAGACGCGAGCAATATTGGCTGCTGGGTCCTCCTGTTGAATGGAACGTGCACCTGGGCCAGAGGGGGTTGGGCCTGGATCTAATAGACTCTGTTCTCCTAGACCAAAACTCTGCCTGAAGCAGGTCAGGGGAACTCATGGTTCCTTGATCCTGATGCCCATCCCCGGCCAATGTCAAGGTTCTACGGACGTGGAGGAGCAGAGCGATGCTGTGCTGCCTCTTGACGTGGAACCTGGGGGTAGGCCAAAAAGGATTTGAGTTCAGGAAAAGGGTCTCATCTTTCGAAAGTTGAAGACTACAAAACCATCCCGAGAGTGGAACTCTTTTGAGGGATCCTGTGCTCCCCAACATTTGATACTCCTATGAGAACTTGGGCTAAGGACAGGCGACGAAAGCGACCCTCCGCCGGTCCGTCGCTGGGATCTGAAAGCGATTAGGAGGTCCCTTAAAAGGGAGAACTCTCAAGGTTTAGGGTTTTCCTCGGGACATGAAAGGCCTGATGAGGCTGGGATCTTGGCAAAGGGGTCCCTTGCCTGCGTTAACCTCAAGGAGTCTTTGTTCTCTAGAGGCAGACGGTATATGCAGGATGAGAAGCTCGGCCAATCGGTCTCAGAGACCAAGCGCTTGAGGTTGTTTTTGATCAGAAGTGTTAGTTTGGATGTTTTCAATGCCATAGGTGTCGTTGCTGGCAGACCAAGGCAAGCTAGCCTTGACGTCAAAGATCATAGGGTTTCAGGTTTGAGGGGTTGATGTAGTGATTTCATAACTATTCGTAGAATGTCCGTAGAGCACAGTAGAAATCTGGGTGTGGTGTGACCTTGTGTAGTCCTTCTCGGGCCTCCTCTGTTCAGGCTGTGGGGTAGCCAGTAGCCCACATGTACAAGGTAAAGTTTTTGCCATCCCAGAGAAAGCGGTGTAACTTCGAAAGCAATTCCCACCTGTTTGATGCGTCTGTCACCCAAGGCGTATTGCTGCTGGCTTTCATGTTCATGTTCCAGGCGGGCTTAATGAGCCCTAATCCACAATGGATCCAGAAATTGCCATTCCAGTTTGCTGCCTTCACTTCCCTTGTGCCACTTCCATAGTGATGTGATGTGTAGCATAGGCTGTTTGGAATGCAGTCTTGGAAGGGCATGCCCTGATACTCCAACCTTCTTTTTACGGAGCTCAAGCATGAGCAATCCGTTGCCAATGCGCCATTACATTCAGCTTTGAGCTTAGCTACGCCAGAAAATCATAAATTCACAAGGCTTCCGGAGCGGAGGTCAGCTTCCTACTGTCCCGGTACAGCACTTCACAAAGGTGTTACTAACGGTTATAGAGGACCAGTATGCGTCAGCGCGCGATTTGCCAGTATTCTGATAGGCAAACCGCTATGACTTCACAGAAAGTTCCGTCCTAGCTTGTAGTTTCATAGTATTTGAGTTTCTCTGCATGCATGAAGTACTTAGTATACCCAAAGACAACAGTTTTGTGGAGCACCTGGTAGTCTCTGTGTTTTGCCGCTGCAAGCCTCTCCTCGAAAGCTTCGGCTTTGATGATGTCAAGGTGTTGTCAGACAGCACCATTTTAACAGGCTCTTCCTAAGCTTGCTTCGATCCATCTCTGAAAGTCTCCCTGGGAAGATCTCGGTCCCCTTGAGAACACAGGCTTGTTTATGGAGAAGCTCAGAAGCGTCAGTTGCAAGTGGGTGAATTTGCAGTCTGCCTAGGCCACCGCTGCTTGATGTGGTAGTTTCATTTCTGGTATCACTGTCCTTTAGATTCCTACGCAGACTTGTGACGGCATGAAACCCTCAGAAATCGGGGACAAGTACAAGTTATAAAAAAGTCCCAGACCACTGAAAGCTTGCTGCTGTTCTGTCACTTATTATTTCCACGTCCTTGGCTTTTTCAACACTCTGCATTTCCCTTGATCTGTCATGTTCTTGGCACCGCTTCTGGCATCATGTGGATATTGGTGTCGCCGGAAATGGGGGCCATGTCATGATTTTTTAGGAGCACCCAATAAAAAACAGAACACCTGAGAGTTGGGAAAGCCATCCCATGGCAGAAACACCTTGGTACGTTTGACGGACAAAATCCTGCATGACCGCAAGTCCATTATCATCGTACTCGATTTCGAGGGCTCAGGTATATGGGGTAATGCGGGATTTTGTTCATCACCAGATGGGGGCGGGGGATTGCTTAATCGACCTGCTGTCTGGAAGGGCTATGGAGCAATGGTGGGGATCCTCGGCTGCAAGGTTGTAATAGAAATGAAGCAAACAATGTTAACAGCCACAGTAAGAGTTAGAGTAAGAGGACTAGTAAGAGTAACAGAAGCGATTTTCGGCACAGCAAGCACAAAGCACTGGTCTGATTAATGCAGTGTTTGCAGGAAGGGTGTTCTTCAACATAGGAATAACCTCGGCGACCCTCGAGGTGTGAAGGGGATATGGGGATGTTCTAAGCTTCCATCTGAAGCATCCATGGCGCCAAATG